CTCAAGGGGTCCCGGATTGTGAGAGGGCACAGGCAAGGCTGAGGGACCCCACTGGTGCACAAATGCATGCACTAGGTCTCTAGTAATATATAACAGCATTGCCTGGAAAAGCTAATATGAGTAACTAATTAAGGACATTATATAATTTAAAGGAGTTCTTTGGAGAGTTGAGTGGTAAAGGGAAGATATATCAAATGAGCTATGTGTAGAGCTTCTGTAGATCTGAAGAATTTCTCTCCCTATCTGTGATCAGTTTTCAGCTATTCAAGTATATCTACACTAATAAAAGAGAAACATGCAAATTAACCATCACTCTGCCACTCTGCTACACCCACAAGCCACGCCCACCAGCCAATCAGGAGCAAATAATGCAAATTAACCCAGTTAAGATGGCAGCGGCCATGGAGCTGGAGCGAGCAGGAGGCTTGGGTTGCACCCGCCGATGGAGGAAGCCAAGCTTCCTGCCTGACCTGACCGGCCCTGGGCTCTGCTCAAGGCTACAAAGTTTCAATTACAGAAGATAAATTAATCTCAGATACCTGCTTCCAGCCCGCCCTGGCCTCCGCTCAAGGAGGCCCTGAAAAATAAAAAATAAAAAAAATAAAAAAGGAGAGGCTGGGATCTTGGGTCGCTGGGGGGCATGGCCAACCTGAAAATGGCTATCATCCCCTCACCCAGGCTGGCCAGGCACCCCAGCGGGACCCTCACCCTGATCCGGGACACCCTTCAGGGCAAACCAGCCGACCCCCACCCGTGCACCAGGCCTCTATCCTATATAATAAAAGGGTAATATGCAAACTGACCCTAACAGCAGAACAACTGGGAATGACTGGTCACTATGACACACACTGACCACCAGGGGGCAGACGCTCAATGCAGGAGCTGCCCCCCAGTGGTCAGTGCGCTTCCACAAGGGGAGCTCTGCTCAGCCACACGCCAGGCTGCCAGCTGCCAGCACAGCGGTGGTGGTGGGAGCCTCTCTCGCCTCAGCAGCACTAAGGATGTCCGACTGCAGTTTAGGCCTGCTCCCCGCTGGCAAGTGGACATCCCCCGAGGGCTCCTGGGCTGCCAGAGGGATGTCTGACTGCTAGCTTACGCCCGATCCCCCAGGGAGTGGGCCTAAGCCAGCAGGTGGACATCCCCCGAGGGGTCCCAGACTGCGAGAGGGCACAGGCCTAGCTGAGGGACCCCCCACCCCCGAGTGCACACATTTTTGTGCACCGGGCCTCTAGTACTTCCTTAACTACTCAGGGCCATTCTCTATTCTAAACCTACTCTTTAAGATTTCCTTGGAAAGGGGCAAGTTGATTTTATTCAATATTTCTGTTTTTCTTTTATTTACTGATATTAAAGAAGAGATTCCGGCAGAGCTGTTTTTTTCCCAGAATTTTCATGAGAACCTAGAAAAATTAACAAATTAAAAAATCATAGAGATGGAAGATATATAATTGCTAAGTTTTTCAGAACTTTATAACAATTTTTGTGTAAAATGTGTCAAAATATTTTTAAGTCACTAAAGTATTGAGTGCTGGTATTATTGAATCATTTGATCTTTAATTCAAATGAAATTAGACTTCTTCCCTTAGACTCTTCATTATAAATGGCACGTCAACCCTGGGAAGACCCTTGACCCTTGCTTTTTGGTTGACGTGCAGTCAGGAAGAATTTTGGATCTTACAAGCTATGTACTACTGCTCTCAGCCAATGAGTAAAGATCCTTTCTCCTAGTGTGTGTGATGGTACTGTACTGTATATAAGGGTTCACTAGTCATTTGGACTAATGAAGATGACTTTAAACAATTTATAGCAATAAAAAATTTCATCTGGGTGAAGATTGGAAGCTTCCTTTCACACTGTTTACAGTTTCTAGTCTTCAGCTGACATGGAAGCACTGACTTTAACAGCTCCATAACAGAAAGAAATACTCCATCAATCACGTAAAGGCCAGGTTGTTAAATCAGTATTACCGATGAATTTCTTTACACTGAAAATTCCCAAGTTATGAAGTATCAGTAGCTAGCTTTAATTTTATCTGTCCTAAAATAACTTTCATGTCTTTCAATATGAATGAATAAATAAATGCTTAGGTTCTCATATATGATATGTAGATGACTTTGCAAGGACCACAGGCTTATAGATAGGAAAAAAAATGCTATTTTTATTTATATGCTCAGTGCTTGCCCTTGTAAGTTCTTAAAGAGTAGACTGAACAATTTGGGGGCTTGTTGCTGGTGGGTATTCTCTCAAAATGTGTTCCTTGGTGGATTAAGTATCAAATCAATCTCTAGCTTCCTTCATGTACTATGGATATTGTATGCCTTTATGCCATACAAATCATGCTCCTCATGTTCTTTAGCATGCCTTTAGCTATGTCAAATATTTTAAAGTTCCTGGGTTATAGGTCCTGTATTCAAATTCATTTATCCCTTTGAAATGGTTTCACAAGTTATTTTTTCCCCATCCAAGGGAAAGAGATGGTAGATCTTAAAGTGGCTCAGTGTTTGGATTTATTTATGTTCTTAAAAGATGATCTTTGCCTTACCAGTATTCACCTTATGAAAGGTTTATAGTCACCTCTTGGAAATTTTGTTTCAGCAAATACAATTTTAATATGTTTCTATTGATTTCAGAGAGGAAAAGAGAGGGAGAGAGAGATAGAAACACCAATGATGGGAGAGAATCATTGATCGGCTGCCCCTGCACGCCCCCCAGTGGGGAATGAGCCCACAACATAGGCATGTGCCTTTGACTGGAATCAAATCCAGGACCCTTCAGTCTGCAGGCCGCTGTTCTATCCACTGAGCCAAACTAGCTAGGGCAAATACAATCTTTAAAAATGTTTTGGCTGACATAAGTTACTTATTTTGACTACTTAATCTGAAAATATTGAAAAAATCACTCAAAATCCTATAACATATTTTGAAATTATGTAAATAAGAAGTAAATGATCCTCTATGCATCAATCACTTTCCTCAAATATAATTTCTATTGTTTGGATGCATGTCCTCCTTGAGTTTTTTCTAAGTTAACATTATATAAGGAAATACAGTATTCGCACTTATAATACAATATATTTATATGCAACTTAACTTTTTATATGTCCATTTGCATCATATATATACATATATATACATATATATATGCACATACATATGCCAGTGTGTGTATAATAATAATAATGATGAAATAATTATATATATATGTGTGTGTGTGTGTGTGTGTGTGTTTGCAAATTGTTGTTTTTGCTTAAGAGTATATAATGAACATCTTATGGTTCAATACATGTATGTTTATCTTGGTCTTTTTAATGATACATAGAGTTCCATTGCATTTTTACATTATATTTTATTCCACCAGCCCTCTCTTGACATATTCTTATTTCTAGTTATTTTTTTGTTCGGTCACTGTTGCAACATACATACATATATCTTTAAGTAGTAATGCTATTATATCTGTAGGCTATATTCATAAAAGTGAATTGTTAGATTTAAGAATATATGTATTTTAATTTTAATAAGTACTGACTGGCGTTTGTGACTATCTTATAAAGATTATATTATGCTGTTCTATATCTGTTTGTTTTTACTATTCATATAGGAAAGTATTTCTCTGAAAACTATTATTTAACCAAAGTGGTTAAAGGGGTATTGCTATATAGTAATCCCATTTTTCATTTATATACATATCTATAGTACCTAATCTATCTATCTATCTATCTATCTATCTATCTATCTATCTATCTATTCATGCAAAAATTTTAATTATGTCTACCCTAAGTCAAATTCAGTCATCAACAAAGAGATGTAGTGACAGCCTTTAACTGATATAGTAACTGAGTGTTCTAGTTGTCTAGCCATAAAAATCCTTGCTCATGAAGAAGTCTAGTAGTAGTTTGATGTTAGCAGGACTTCACCAGTCCACTCATGGACCATTGTTATATTTTTTAAATCCATCCTTGTATATGGACTCAACAATCAACCACATTTTGGTTATATTTGCTGGTTGACAGTGCATCTCTATGAATAGACATCCTGTCTATGAATCTAAATCACAAAGTGCTTCTCCCTTGATCTTTTTTCTCTTGGAGCTAAAGCTCTATATCGCCCAGATCATACAAATTCATAGTTCTGTCTTTTCCTTAGAGTCTCACTGTATGACTTCATGCTACGCCATGGAAACTGGTTATATTCTATTTAAGAAAAAACCCCACACAACTCTTTATAACACTTGGTATGGTACCAAGAGAGATTTCCTGTTTAAAATTATGAGAAACTGTTAATAGAAAAGTTTGTAGAGGTTCACACCTCCCTTATTTTAAGCATTTTTTTTTATCCCAGAAGAAAAATGGTGTGGAATGTAAATAATATGTTTCAAGATCAGGTAGCAGAAATCCAACCAGAATGATATAACAATACCCTATAGTTTAAAAGGAAACAGTCTAGAAGAAAGATGTTAGAGTGTTATTGTTAAAAGATTTTTCATATTAATTTTTATGATGAGGGTGATGAAGACTTGTGTGTTAAATAATTCCACTGCTCTCTTTTTAACTGTATAGTTCTTGTGTAATTTTTCTAGTGTGTGTACATATGCACCTAAGAATGCAGGTATGTGTTATATATATTTATATACTATATTTGTATTTCATTCTTCTTTCACAAATGAGGAATACATTTATAAATACTTTGTGAGACATACTGATGGAAGAGAAGGCCAAAAATAATATAAGAGAAAGGAAAGAGGTCATTTGAGCCAGGGTAGGGACTTATGTATATTTACCATTAGATACTATAAAGCATGTGTACAGGCACAGATTTTTATAGTCTCTTAATGCCAGCTAAGTTCCATATACATTTCACTTCCTTTCTCTAGTTCTTTACTAACCTATTTATTGACATGAGGTCATCCCAAAGCATTTTGTTGAAAACATAAATGTGTATTTAATGTGTCACTGTGATGACTTTTCCAGAATTCCTTCAGAGTGAGATTTCTTTGTTTTTCAGAATCTGCCCATGAAGAAGATTCCATGCAAAGCCAGTGCACCCTCAGGCTCCTTTTTCGCCAGAGACAATACAGCCAATTTCTTATCCTGGTGCCGAGATTTAGGGGTAGATGAAACATGTCTATTTGAATCGGAAGGTTTGGGTATGTATTTTCTTCAGAATTTTAACTGATTAAAAGCATTGTATTTGTCAGTATAACTACCAAAACTAACTTTTTTGTGTGATGTCATTTCGCAGATGAACTTTAAAAAAGTTCGTAGTTTGGTGTAAATGGGTTTTTGAAGGTAGTAAAATGCATGTCCTCTTACTATTTATTCTCTTGGGCATAAAGGATAGGAACATAAATAGCACAATTACTGTCAAAATAAGATCAAGTAAATACAATGCAAAATTGGGGGATATTTGAAAAAGGCAGGGTCCAATTTACCCACCAGGCTCTAACCTGCACTAGAATGGAAGTGGCTATATATGTTCCAGCCATGGGAGCACGATTGTCTTTTTGCTTCTCTAAAGGTACGAAAACATCATTTCCCGATAGTTCTCTTTGTGAAACTGGAGTTTGTTCATTTATTTATTTAATTTGGTGAGTTAAACATCAGCCAAGCAAGTAGGAGATTGGATTAAAGATGATGAAATAAAAGACAGATATCTCAGTGCCCAGACCTACCCAGATTATTGTGGGGTTTTCTGGTCTTGTTTTGTTTTATGATTGAATTTTGCCAAATCCACTTCCAGGCCATAGGATGAGCTTTTGCATTTCCTCTGGACAAAACATACAGTTTTTGGTGTTTCAGCATTACTCATGAAATAGAACTGAGTGAAGAAAGGAGACATATAGAGGGGGAAAAGCTTTCGTTCTTTTGCCTGAAGCTTTAAAAAATCAATTCACAAAAATCACATAATACCAAATATTAACATCAAAGTAAGCTGAGCATCCTTCAGAGAGAACAAGTATACAAATTGCCTTCCAAACAGTCAGACTATCCTAGCCCCCAGGGCTCACAAAGCAATATTCTCCTGTTGAACCTAGGAAATGGATGGCAACAGCTACAATCTTCATTTTTTGTCCTCAAGGAAATTTGTATTTGTACTAAGAGGAATTGATGTAATATAGAAAAGATTATCGTCAAATTTCTGAGGATTATCTCAGCAGAGAAGAAAAACACATTAATTTAGACTAGGAGAACATTTTATACTTGAAAGAAAAAGCAATCAGAGTAATTGTACAATAGCATACTATGTGTGCTCCTTGAATGTTCATTATATGAATGGGCTTTGACTGTTCTTACCATTTTCTTATATTAAAATAAAACAAATTTGGTGGGAGATGTGTGTGTACGTATATACCTCTTCTTCAGTCCAATATTAATTTTACAGATAGATTTTAACTTTTAGGTTAATAGGGAAACTGTGAGTGGAGGATTCCAAGAAAGGCGTGTGGAAGAATTATTTGTGAAAAAATATTCTTGAAAGATCTAGTGTGGGGCAAAAGTAAGTTGACAATTGTTTGTATGGAAAATAATGCAGTAATGAATAAACAGCAATACAAGAATAAACTCAGTTTCATGTACTCACAACTGTAAACCTACTTTTGCCCAACCCTTTATACAGCTATATAATCAAGTGTGGACAAATAACATCATGATTTAAAATTCTGGAGTGCCCCTACATTACCAACAAATGACACAGAGGGAAACTGCTTTATTATTAATTTATTCATTGTACAGATTTTCATTAAAGAAGCCTTTTTCAGTGGCAACTATAGGCCAAGTGGATTACTAACTATGAATGTAAATGTGATCTTGTCTCAATTTTTTCATTGTCCATGAATTAGTTAAACTAATAAAACTTTTTTGTTAGTTAAACTAATAAAACTTTTAGTTGGAATTGAAGAAGAGTCAATCTAGTAATAAATTTTCTCTGGAGTATATACATCACCAGTGCCCAAGTACCTAATGAGAATTGAATGCATATTATTTACCTTGATGGCTTTTTAAAACCCCATTCAGATAATGACTAATACATTTTATCTTGAAACAGTCAAGCCTAAAGAAACATATGTAATAATGGTTGTAGTATATAAATAAGTATTCTGCAGCATATACAATCAAGTCAAGAAGAATTTTGAGATGGTCTAGTTCTTCACCCTGTTCGAAAAAAAAACAACAACAAAAAACCTTATGAAAAGAAAGTCCATGAGAATTTAAATATAATAACTGTCAAGTATTTTGCTAAAATATCTTTGATTTTTATTACCTTCTATGTTATAACTTAGTTTATACCTTGCAATTAAAATGCATTAATGTATCCATGGAAATTTAATAAGACCAAGTTTTCAAGCTATAAAATTTAAAAATAATTTTTAATTGTTTAAGTAGCAAATTAAAGCAAATAGGCATTCTAGTTTGAAAAGATAAATTTGAGCTTTCTGCTGCTCAGAATAGGACATGAGGTGATATATAATAGGCCTGGGGAGCTAAAAGAAGGGAGCCAATAATACAGCATTGACTTTCGGATTACTCAGAGAAAGGAAACAGCTGTGCCCATAGATGTTAAAGATAATCAAGAGGAAGGGCAATGAGAAATTCCATTTCCCCAAGTGGAACCCTTTCTCCTTGGATTTTTATTATCACTGTAGGTGAGGAAGTGATCGGGCCTCTGCTGATGGCCTTGGACTCTGTACTTGCAGAATTGACTTTCCTGCAACAATAACACTGTGTACTCTGCTTGATGTCTTTTCACACTTCACTTTTGAAAGGGAATTTAGGGCAAGGATTTTTTTCCTTTTTTTTACCTCAAGATTTCATTTCAGTAGCACACAAGATGAAGAGCATCCTTTGTGTCACAGTGTTTTGAATAGCAAATAAAATGAAAAGATGCCCTGATGAAGGGGAAAATCTGTTTGAATGAATGATAAAGTAGATCACTGTATTGAGTGTGTATCAAGAGGCTTCTGTCTTCAGCTGTTCAAAGGCCTTTGCCTGCATAAAGCATTCTTATCTTCATGGCAACTGATATGCTACCCTCTGTTGCAGTGCTTTTTGTACAATTATTTTGTGAGAGGATCTTGATTCACAACTCACTCAATCTGTTCTATTTCCACAACGGCTAATGACAAGAAATCTCAGTGGGTGGGGAAGGTATGCCAAGGGTGGACAGGGGAGTATGGACAGCAACTTATTCCATGTGATCCTCTCATGCTTCTTGTCTTTTGGATTCTTGGCAGATACATTTCTGTGCCACATGATACAATCACATACAGAGTATAACCTGCAATTTATTTTCTATGACATTCTCGGTAATTTTTCCTCTATGAAATGTCATAGATCATAAGTTCATTACTGTACCGAAACAAGCCAATAGAAAGATGGACACAGGTCTTGAAAAGCCTATTCATAAAAGATTTATAAAAATCCAATAAAGGTATGAAATGTTTGATACATTAGCAATGAAGTAAATGCGATTAAAACTATGAAAATTAGCACAGATTAGGAAAATTGTATGTTTAATGCTGAGAATATAGGAAAATAGGATATTCTATAGAGTACTGGAGAAAATTGGAAATTGATATGTCTGCTTTGGAGGGCAATTTGACATTATCTATCAGAGACCGGAGAAGTGTTCATGTCCTCTTATCAGGTTGTTCTACTTCTAAAAGTTTATCCAATGGAAATAAGTGGAGAAAGGCATCAGAATGTCCACTGAAACATTTTTGTAATAGTAAAAAAAATATGAAAATGAATTAAATCTATGACATGTAGTGATAGCTTAAACAAATTACAGTCATCCAGAGATATCAACAAAAGATAATATTTTTGAGACTTTAAGTATATGGGTAACTTTTGACATACTCTGAAACATGAAGTCACACATTTATATCTAGTAAATAACAAGAAAATATATTTAGAATTTGAAAGAAAGATAAACAGTAGTTGGGTTATAAATGATATCATTTTATTCTTCAATTATCTATTAACTAGGCAGTAAAACTATATGGCATATAATCTGAAACATAAACAATTTTTTTGTTAAGATACAATGTGAACCAATTTGCATAGAGAAGTATTTATGGACATAAAATTTATACATAAGTGTGTTATAAGGTATGTTTTGTATCATTGAGATTTCAAGTGATTATAGAATTTTATACTGCTATGGGAACAGATGACATAAATCTTTGTGTGTTCTGTGGAGCATACTTTAGTCTTAAGATTTTACATATAATGCTCATTGACAACCCCAATTGTTCAAACCATGGTGACATAAAAGTGACTGGAGATTTTATTTTTCATGTCTCTGATTTATTAATAAATTGGTTCCATTGGATTCCTTAAAAATAGTTAGGATATGCTTTAAGCTAAAAAAGATCAACTTGAAATGTTATTTATTTTAAATTTAAAAGTATGTAGTCTATTGGTCTAAAAATAAAATACTTCCCCAATAATTATTTTGAAAGAAATGAACTTTAATGTAAAGGGGAAAAACATTTAGAAGGCTCTAGTTATAAAAGCATTTTCTGTTTTCAGTTTGGAAGAGATGTAAAATTTCTTAAACTGTATTAATAATTATTATTCCTAACAGTAAGTGTAATAATTTTTCAAAGGTTAAGTACTTGAACTACCATTTCTAAAATAATGATGAATATTTTGATGTGGCTCATTTTTATTATTTAAATTAAGACCCAAGAATGTATGATTTATTTTCAGTCTTGAAAAGTTGTGTTTTGGGGGGTAAAGGAGGGAATGAGAGACATCTATAATACTGTCAACAATAAAAATATAAAAAATAAATAAATAATTTTTTTAAAAGTTGTGTTTTAAGTCCTAAAATTGATGTTCATATGTGATTTTTTAAAGATATTTTAAGCAAGAAACTAGTTAAATTATTCAAGTTCTTATATGGGAGATTTATTTTTTATAATTTCTCTTAGCACACAAATTAGAAATGTCATGTTAGTTTAATTTTTCCCTGAGACCTGTTTATTTTGTGTTATTTGTATGCATCCCAGTAACCTGGGAGATGGGGGGAGAAAAGGATGGGAGGAAATTCTTTTAAAATGCATAGTTTTTTGCTTTCTGTAATTGTGTCAATATCATTATATTATTGGATGATTATAGGATTTGGAGGCCAGTGACTATTCTT